GTTTTCTTTAGGCGGAGATTAGAATTTACATGTTTTTACTATGTTCCATATGAATTTACTTTAAAATAAAAACATCTATATTGATTCTGACACTTCTACATCCAACTCACAGATGTAACCTTGCTTTGAGAAAAAAGATTATTAATTTACCCCTTTTAGAAGTGAAGATATAGTCTTTGTTGTGTTAGTGGCATTTTCGAGCATGAAACCCGAAAAACAGGCTCAGGGCTTAAGAGGTTAAGTTGAACCTAATATTTGTATTTAAACTGATTATTATTGCTTTCAACTAACCTAATACAGTTATGTGAAATTGGTCGACATAATACATTTAATTAAAATCAACGTTTCAGTTTTTTTTCAGTTTACAGCGGAAAATTTCAGGACCAACCCCCCTCAGGAAATGGTAACATTTGGTAGGCATAGTTTAGAATCAGCATCTCTCGGGTAAAAACATATTAAACTAGAGAATGCAATTCCTGAAGAAATTGCTAGTGGGAATGCTTTATGCTGAAAAGCTGACGCTAAACTGCTATGCTGAAATGTAATGTGTAAGAAGAAAGTGAAGAATTTAGATAGAAATGATACGTGAACACTGGGGGCTTGAATGTGTGATGAGAGAAGAAAAGAAAGTAAAAAGGCTTGGAAAAGCAGCAGAATATTTGAACTGCAAACTTTTGAACTAACTTGATGGTGAATGATCTGTCGCCATGGCAACGGCATTTGATGACACCCGATAATACGCTTATGGCGCGTTTCCACTACACGGCCTCGCTCGGCCCCGCTCGGTATGGCTGGGCCTCGTTAGGACTGGCTCACTTTATGGCGCATTTCCATTACAGTTTAGGAACTGGGGTAGTATCTATAGTAACACAGTGTAGGCGGAGCCGTGACGTGATCTTCAGAGATCCCCAGAAAAACAACACAGCCGTTAGCTGTTAGCACTCAGAGCTCACAGCTCCTCATATATGTTCAGAAACTAGACAAAAGTTAAACAAGTACAAACCACAGACTGCCTGTGTCATGGTGAATACAGTCGCTGCTTTATTTATGTCTGTATAGGCCGTTGTTGTGAGTGTGGACGGTCGGAGCATATACTGCGTTAGCTTAGCCAATCTCCATTTAGAAAACAAGCATTTTAAAAGGTTTTTCCCCTGCCGTCTGTCTGCAGACTTGACAAAGCATTAATTCATGGTTTTTACTAACCGGTATCAGTATGTTGTTACTTCAGCATCATTTTGAAACGTGTATTACAATTAAATCACGGTCAAATATGTCCATCTTGTTGTAGTTGTAGCCCCCTTGCCAGCTATGCTCTCTCTAGTTTAGCATACTCAGCCCGACTCAGCCTCGTTGTCTCTGGCCCTAGACCCGCGATTTTATGAGGCCAGAAAAACTGTGAATTAGGACCCGCCGGCCGGTACTAGGCCAAGTGGAAACGCAACCAAAGACGGGCCGCTGACGTCACAGCCCTCTTAAACCGGGCTGCGCGCTGTAGTGGAAACGCGCCATTAGATGCGTTGATGGCTGCATCGTTACCAAACCTGTGAAGTTTTGGGGCGTTTGGAGCATTTTCACTGAAGTTATGAGAAAACCGTGTTTCATGGCGAGCATTGTGTTGCCATGTCAACGGCATTTGAAGAAATCTCAAAACTGTCCCGTAGATGTCTTCACGGCTGGACTGTTAGCACACATGTGAAGTTTGAGCACTTTTGGAACATTTTCATAGGAGTTATAGCGACATCATGTTTTATGGCGAGGGATGCGTTTCCATGGAAACGGCATATGGTGAGATCTCAGATTTGGCGTAGAGCTGTTGAGGCATGGACCGGTGATATACAAGTGAAGATTGGGGGACGATTGGACCGTGTCGATTGGACTTACAGCGACATCGTGTTTCATGGCGAGTGGTCTGTCGCCATGGCAACGGCATTTGATGACACCCCATAATATGCTTAGATGCGTTGATGGCTGCATCGTTAACAAACCTGTGAAGTTTTGGGGCGTTTGGAGCATTTTCACTGAAGTTTGAGCACTTTTTGAACATTTTCATAGGAGTTAATGTATAGCGACATCGTCTTTTATGACGAGGGATGCGTTTCCATGGAAACGGCATATGATGACACCCCATAATTGACGTAGAGCTGTTGAGGGCAGGACCATTAACCATTATCTGAAGTCTGCTGCTCTGAGCATGTCAGTTGGAGTTATGACATCATCGTGTTCCATGACACAGGTGTTTATATTTGAGCTAACGACGTGTCAACGTGCAGTAATCAGTGAGAGGAGAGCATTTGCATTGTTCTGAATGAGAGATAAACCTGTTACATGTGAACGTTTTGTTGAAGAACCGTAACAGATATCGGTGAAATTTCAAAGCGTGAAGCATCTCAAGGACCTTGAGTATCTGAAGTGTGCTTTTTGTGTAGTTTCGGGTCAATAATGTGGCCTTTTTGGCAGATTAACTAAAGGTGTGCGGCTGCTGCTGTGAGGAAATATCAGCCTGAAATTACAATGGGCTTTAATAGAGAACCGCAGTGACGCGTCCTAAAACCCGGAATTAAACTCCTTCCGGTTCCTTCGTCAAAAACGCAATGCAATTTCTCCATAGGATTTTGGAAAATAGCTCGAAATAAGGTCTGTGGTTGACACACATTTAAGAGACGGATCACGTTTTGTTCAGCCGGATAATATCCACATGTCTACCCTACTTTTATAATTTTCGAATCATAAATCTAGTCACCAGAAGCAAAATGCTAACGTTATGCTATAAACGAACTGCAGAAGGGTCGCTGCTTCAACGTCACGCCAACTTAAGATCCATATTCAGACATACAGATTCTAAATGGTACAAGTTGAAGCGTTTGTTTGAACAGTTTGCAGGAGGCAGGTACTTGCTTTCAAGCAGAACAGGGCAAACAAACTTAGCGGGAGTGTTTACGTGTTCGTTGTAATGACGTAAAATGGCCTGGACAACTTCTGTAGTCCTATTCAGCCACATGTTAACAACCATCGTTTTTCAGACACGTAAACTCTTCAAAAATCACCAGCTGATGTATTTAATGTCGTAGAACAAAACGTGATCTGTCTCTTCAATTTGTGTCAAACACAGACCTTATTTCGAGCTATTTTCCAAAATCCTATGGAGAAATTGCATTGCTTTTTGTCGAAGGAACCGGACATGGTAAAAATGCTAACTTACTTCCGGGTTTTAGGACGCGTCACTGCGGTTCTCTATAGAGACATGTTGAAGGTTTTTGTCACTTCATGCCCTCAAGAGGCATTTTGTTTAATTATTTTTGCTTAATTATTTGTCATTTTTCAAGCTACGAGATGTTTTCCTACGTTTGTCATGAGAAATTATGTCTCAGGAATGTAGGGTTTGGGAATTATGGCAGTTTTAAAAAAAAATATGAATTTTGAAATTTGAAGATTTCATAACCTCTAGCTGTGACATCATGCACTCTAGTTAATGTTAAAATCTGAAGAAAACCTCTTTAACAAGGTCTGAACAATGTTTAATATCTCTAAAAGTAAGATTCAGATTTAAAAGTTGTGTTATAATGTCAGAAAGATGTGTAACATTTTAAAGTTGGAATGAGGTTTCTGAGTGAAAGTATGAAGGAACAGTTAGCAGTTGAAGTAGCATGAAGATTTGTTCAAGTCTGAAGATTTTCTCCATTGTCTTCAATGGTTAAAAATGTGATGCATTATGGGATGTATCTCTGGAATTATGAAAGTTATGAATGAGAAAAGTAATAGCCATCGATTCCCGACCGAGTTGAACGTTTTGATGTTTGAACGGAGTTTCTGCAATGTTCAATGTGGGAGAAGAAGACCGGCAAAATAACGCGCGGAATAATAAGAATAAAGAATTTTGTGCGTAGAAGAACAGATAGTTGGAATGCTGTTAACAGCATTCCCACTAAATCATATGTATAATAAAACTATAGAAATCTTTAGGCAGAAGGGCAGATATATAGATATATGAGCTTCTTGCTTTTTCCGACAGTCCCTGTAAACATGCAAAACTTTACAATCAACATCGATTAACATCTATCGACATCCATTGCGCGTCTGTCCGTCCTCGGAGAGGGATCCCTCCTCTGTTGCTCTCCACAAGGTTTCTTCCATTTCCCCCCCATTAACTGGGGGGTTTCTTTGGGAGTTGTTCCTTGTCCGATGTGAGGGTCCACGGACAGAGGGGGTCGTATTCATATTCTGTATAAACTGTAAAGTCCACTGAGACAAATGATGTGTGATATTGGGCTATATAAATAAACTTTGATTGATTGAATCAAATGAACATTTCTATAGTTTTCTAGACTTCACACATTTAAAAAAACAAAACGTTGTAAACTTGAAACTCTGTGAGAATATGAAATACCGGTATGTGTCTTATTTTGCGCACTTTACCAGAAAATGTATTCACGAAACGAATTGTACACTGCGTTGTTGCACACGGAGAAGTTAAGTCAGAACAGATTCAGACTTCCTGTTTGAGGGTTTAATAACTTCCTGTTGAAGGGTTTAATAACTTCCTTTAAGATTAGTTTAATAACTTCCAGTTGAAGGGTTTACCCACTACTCGCACAAACATGCACATGAGCAATAAGTGGGTAGGGTGGGGGTGAGTTTGGAATTGGTTCTTTTAAATTATCAGTATGTTTACTTACTGTTAATAGGATTTCAATGCAAGTGTTCCTTACATTACTGGTCTGTGGGGCTTGATATGGGCTCAGTGCAGGTTTAATCTGTGAGATCAGTAACAATCTGTCTCAGCGTGGCCTCATGTGGCCTTTTACTTCACATTTTTCTTGGAATCCCAATGGGGGCTCTGTGTTCTTTTTTTGTCACATCCTGTGCATACTGTGTATGTGTGCAGTGTGTGTGAGAGAAAGAGAGAGCCCGTTTAACCCTTACATTGCTGATCTGGTTTCAATTTCCTCCCTTCCCCATGTTGCACATCTGTATGTATGTAGACCGAAGGCAGAAGACCCCACTCTTTGACAAATAATCTCTTCTTTTATTTTGAGAGGAAAAACAACAAAAACATTCCTCACAACGTTGACCTGTATAAAAAATATAAAAAATACACCAGTCAGCTGTTTGGTGGTCCCAGCCCTGAGTCGCATCAGAGCGGGGTCCGGCTGTGACCCCGACTGGATGCTCATATTATTCAGTGCACGCTTTACACACAGTTGGCTCTACAGTGTCAATTTACTGTGTTTACATTACTGTTTACATCACAGTGTAATTAGGAAACGCAGATAAGCATTGTGTCTCTCTGAATGTAATAGGCAAACATTTGACAAACATTTGACAAACATTTGACAAACATTTGAAACATGTTTAAAAGTGTTTGATTGCATAGAAGCAAGGTAAGTGCAACATTACAAAAAAATTAACACATAGCCTATTTGCTTGCTCACATTAAAGTTAGGGTAGGTAAGTTTGAGAAACTGGCTCGAGATCGCTAGAATTTGAAAATACACAACCGGAGAAAATCTGCCACTTCCTTATAGAGCCCCTCCTCCAACACACACGAACGCGCACATGACCAATGAGGGCACGAGATTAAGTTTGTGCCCCGATGGAAGGCTGACAGGCAGGTAGGCCATCCAGTTATTTTAGCCGGGCTGGCTAAAATGATTGGTCGTGCTTTTTACAGTATTACGGCTTCCACAGATGACATTTTTTTATGGATTTTTTGTCAAAGCACTTAAGATATTCATTGCTATCTGATGTTAAGAGCATTCCATGGAATATAACAAAAAGTGTATCTCGAGCCGGTTTCTCAAACTTACCTACCCTACCTTTAAGGATGTCGTTTAAACAATAATAGGCTTGTTCATAAGTAAGGAAATCTCCCACTCATAACATTTGACTGGTGATATGCTCCTTACTATTTGTGTGGCAGATATCATTATTAAAGGGAAAAAAGGAAAACAGAACAAACAAAACAAACCTGTTGCTAAATTAGGTAATTCCACAAATAAAATGAAGCTTTGTTAGTGACTCTGAGGCTGCACTGTGTTTCTTTTTAGCTAAAGGCTAACATCAGCAAGCTATATTACTCGCAATTACATTGCTAACATGATAAGAACTAAGCAGTCTAAGGTCTAATGTTTACTATGTTATCCGTCGCATTTAAGCTAATTCATATTCTAACATTTGCCAACTTGAAGCTAACACAATATGCAGCTGATGCGAATGTCATTATTAGTGCAGGTATTTGGTTAGAAACGCAAGACAAAAAGTCAGATAATCAACAAGTTTAAAATGTCATTATCTGCGGACATGGACATCCACAGACAAGGATTAGGGCCACATGAGAAAGAAAATGAGGGTGTGACCAAAAGTTAAATAAAATGTTAAGTTTTGATTTGATCTCAGAATTCTGACTTTTTTCTTGATATTCAACATTTTGGGGAATACCCTCATTCTCCTTTTTACCAAAAGGGAAGGGAGAAGATTGAGTTTATTCATCTCTGTGTGTTCATAGCTGGAATCAGTAGGTTAGCGTAGTTTAGCATAAAGACTAGAAGTAAGGAGAAACAGCTAGCCTGTCTGGCTCTTTCTGAAATCAAAAAGCACTTATAAAGCTCACTGACATGATGTTTATACTTGTTTGTTAGATACACAAACAGAAATTGCATTATTCAAATAATGGTTTTCTGGGTTACACTGTTTTTACCTTGTTACATATTTAAATGTAGTTTATATGTCAGCAAAGCTTTGTTTTTAGTCATTACAGACAAACTGATGCCAAACTTGGCAACCTTAGTGTGAAAACAAACTGTGAAGCTGCAGCTACTGAGTCTGGATGTTGTCCAAAAAGAAATAGTTCCAGCATGAAACTTCACCTGAAATCATGAGTTGGCGTTTAGTTACAGCCAAGATGGTATTGTTTGTTATTGAGTCAGTGTTTCAAGATTTCATCACCACGATAGCCCTGCTACTGTGTAAGGTGTAGATGAGAAATGTAAAAGTTGAGTTAAAAACAAAGTTTGAGTTAAAAGTTAGGCATTATCCGAGCATGAAGGACGAATGGGTCATTGGCCTCCTACATTTTGTCCCTAGCAAAGATGGTCTATTCTGTTTGTAAACCAAAAAAGGTGTTTTTATTTTACTTAGGACAGAGCTAGCTGTTCCCCCACTAAATGTTCCACAACAAAGGAAGTTTGCATATTTTCCTAATGTTAAAATATTTCTTTCATCTTGCCTGGTGAGCTCCTTGCTAGCCTTAACCCTGACCCATATGTAGCACACATAATGTGACGTCCCAAACTGCCTCTATAAACATGGTAACATGGACAAAAGCTTCCTGATAGGTCAACAAATAGAGTTCATCAGGGCTAAAAACACATTAGACCCAATCCTCAAACTTAATGACTCCATTGAAGCCTTCATAGGTGAAGGGTTCCAGGACGGGGCTGCAGGTCTCTTGAGCAAGGCAGGCCATCCTGTTGCTGTCACAGCTGTCCTCGCTGCCCGGGGAGAGGTACACCGAATCAGCAGAGTGGATAGACGGGTCCATGTCAAAATAGTTGTGTGGCCGCAGCAGGACCCCGCCCCCGTTGCCTACGGTTACCGTGTTGGGGATGTCCTCGGAGTGGGGGATGTGAAGGAAGCCGGTGGTCACCCAGGCAACCAGGTCCTGCAGGACAGTTTTGAACACATTATATTTGTTTCAGTAAACATGCAATACGTGATTGTATCATCACGCTTCTTAAAGTGCGTTCACACCGGACACAAAGTGAAGATTCGCAACTTGAGCGAGTTGGACCGCGGCATCATTTGTGTTTACTAGCGTCACTCAAACTAGACGCGCTAGCACAGAGGCGGGACTTATCTCCATGTAGATACCAACAACAACAAACCAACATAATATTCCGTGATTCAATTGTTACACACATATTCAAAAGATGCCGTTATAACTACATACTGATACTCGTTAGTAAAAACCATGAATTAATGCTTTGACAAGTGTATTTACAACAAGGCAGACAAAACACTTTTCAAATGCATGTTTTCTGAATGGAGATCTAATCAATCGGGCTCGGCTAAGCTACCGTTGTAGCTGCTCCGTCCAAACTCAAAATAACGTCATGCTGACATTAATAAAGTAGCGACTGTATTCTCCATGCCGTAGGCAGTGGGTGGGTTGCACATGTATAGTCACGGCTTGTTGTCCAGTTTCTGAACAAATATAAGGAACTGTGTGCCGTCGCCGTGAGCCAAAGGCTGTGTTTTGTTTTGGTTTTCTGATTCAACAACGTCAGTGACAGGCTGAGATTTATCGGGACAGCATCACGCAAATGTATCGCCTTGAACTCTCACGAGTTAAGCTTGGCCACGTCATTCACTTAATTCACACCGCCAATTATTGTGTATCGGCGTCTTTGCGTTGACTTTACATGTAATCACCCCACGTGTGAACGCATCATTACATACAGATTCCATCACAACACACCTCGTCTTCGATGCTTTCGTTGTCTTCAATGTACTTGCTGAAGTCGACAGCTGGAGACCAGATGTCGTTTTGACTGTACAGACTGCTGCTGGTCTGCTCTCCATCCTTATGCTTGGTGATGGCAACCTTATACCTGGTGATTGACAAAAAGGTGCAGAGAAGCAGGAGAGGCTTTAGATAGCAGAAGCATGCCTTGTGGATCATAGGGGGCTTCAACCGGAATACAAGAACATTGCTGTGGACCAGATCCACAGATTAAGTTCTATGTAAAAAATGTCAGGTTTGATGCTAAATTGTGGAGTTCATGGCATCTACAGCATTGTTAAGATTAAGGAAAAATCAAGATTACGGTTGATGAAGAGACTAACTTAACATGATGGGACATGCTGCATAAAAGTATGACATGCTACATATCCATTCAACATCCTGTTTTCCACAACTATACTTTTTACATTGCTATATTAAGAGCATAACCCTGATTGTGTTATTAGGAATGCATTTTTTTTTAAATATACACTTTGTGTCTGGTCTCACCTGGCCCAGGACATGGCCCTCTCCTCGGCCTGGCTCTCGGGGAGATTGTCCCCTGTGAAGCTGAACACCTGCAGCCTGTAGGAGCGCTGGTGACCCCAGCGGTTGGTCTTGTTGCTGGAGATGTGGAGGTAGCGCGGAGTCTTGGTGTCGTAACGTAGCGCTGCCTCCTGTTATGAGACACAGTACACATTATTCCTACAGTTAGGGTGACCAGGTGCCAACAAGCCACATGTGGGACAAATAGGACGTTTTTGCGGGACAATGCGGGACATGTTACTGCGTTACTGAGAGCTAGATTAGATGTTTATATAATGTCTATATAACCCTTAAGAAGAACATTTCTATTAAACTATAAGCCTATACATTTAAAGGGGACCTATCATGCAAAATGCACTTTTTGATGTCTGTTATACTTAAATATGTGTCCCCGGTGTGTCGGGGAACTGACGCAGCGTCAGAAAATAAAACCCTTTCTCTTTTCCACCGTACCCAAATCTCTAAAAACGGGGAACAACGGAGCTGATTCAGATTTGCGTCCGATATGACGTAATATCAGAAATGTAGGCTGGCTTTACACCCACGGCCCTATCAGAAACGTTGCTATCAGAAACAATGCCCGACTGTTTTGGACGTAATATGGTCGGTGCATGTTTACATTAGCATCGCTAACACTCAGAGCTAACCTGTACTACACAGAGCATGTGTGTGAAGAAGCAGGAAATAAAAAGGAACTCGCCTTGTGGTTTAACCGGCAAGAGAGAAAGCCTTTGAGCTCCATACTGTTTCAGAAATAATCCTTGATAATCCATGATATGGCGTTTCATCACGGCAGTATTTAGTTTAGACCAGGGGTCGGGCCCCCCCTCCCGTTGACAGTTAACGAGCATTGAGCGTCGAGCTCCCCCCCCTTAAAGGGGACCTATCATGCAAAAGGCACTTTTGTACGTCTTTTATACATGAATATGTGTCCCCGGTGTTCCAGGGAACTCACCAAGTGTCAGAAAACACAACCCTCTCTATTTTCCTCCATACCCAAATCTCTAAAAAAGGGGCTGCAACGGATCTGATAAAAACTGATCCAGATTTGAACACTTCTATGACGTCACAGAAGTGGCGCTACGGCTATTGGGCCAACTCCACCAATCAGGAGGAGACAGCCACGGCCATTGCCGTTCGAAAGCGCTGGAGAAGCTGTAGTACATATGCCAGGCCTGTAGGTGGTGCTGTTCTCACAGAATCAGCCCTTGCAAAAACAGAGCAATTTTTTTTCAAATTGAGCGAAATGAGGCATGGCTAAAATCTGTTTGGTATTTTGAAAAAAAAAAAGTATAAATATGCCTTATATAGGTATGGTCCTACACTATATTATTCAAATATAGCATGATAGGTCCACTTTAAGATTTAGTTTAAAGTGTATTTTATTTACACACTACGCAATCTAACCTAATATTTAGGAAAAGTTAGGAAAAACCATACATTGTTCGCGGCAGTGATAAATTGGAACCAAAACAACACTTCATGCGGTCTCCACACTGTCTTTGTTACACACTCTCCTCTACATGTTGTTAAAAGAAACCTAAATGCAAGTGACTAAAGGCATAAAGGGAGCCCGACCTTTTCTGTTTTCAGTTGCTTCTCCACCAGCTGAGGCACCATCGCATAGTGATCAGGCATCCATGGCAGCGAAACATTTACATATTCCATGTCTTTGGTCTGAAAGAAATTCTTTACTCCTGCAGAAGAAAGAAAGCAAAAATGTTTTTCACAATACTTAATTTCTCTTGTAGTATGAAAGCCAAAATTGACCTGCTTAGGTCATTTTGATCCACATGTCAATCCTTGTCAGGTGCTTGATGTGTTTCCTAATATTTTAAACGTTATAATTTTTGGACGCTTTGGATAAAAGCGTCAGCCAAATAAAATGTTATTTAATTCATTTCAAGTTATAGCGAAGACTAGCTTTCCATCCGGTTTAAACTTTGTTGACTAACCATGAACCACTAACCTGCTTCTGAGCCACCACACATTCCTGGGGCCTCATTTATAAAGGGATATACGCTCAAAAAATGGCGTACGCCAGTTTCTACGCAATGTTTGCGATTTATAAAATACTAACTTGACGGGAAAATGTGCTGTCCTCCACGCAAACTCTAACCCATGCGTACGCACTAAGCACAACAACGGGAGAGACGAGAAACTGCGACACCGTTGGCAGAAGGAAGAATGGAGAGAAATATGTGGAAATAAATAAAATGTTACCTCTCATTTATCATATGAAGAATTCATTTTCAAACATTGATTAAAGCCAATCTTAAAATGATGAAGCAAACGCCTGTTTGAGACTCCTCAGTGCACACAAAAACATAACTTGGAGAAATAAATAAATACGGATATGTTATTTAAAACCACCTCGAATATGTTGTGTTAATGTTATGAAATGTTTTCTCATAAATGATGCGGTAAGCAGGAGGACAGAATAACGTCTAAACTAACGCCGTTTTGCATTTCTATAGGTTGTAGATACGAGCGTGGTTTTATATACTATCACGTTTAATCGTGTTTTATGCCGTTTGCCAAGACTTGATAAGTCGCTCGTAAAACACAGGAGGTATGGAAACTAAGAACACCATATGTGGTAAATTGTACAGCTAATATAACACAACCCATTAGTTGTATTTCCTTTAACTGGTGGACTATGGATATATAGTTGCTGATCGACAGCTGGAACACAAACACAAATTCAACAAAATCATTCAGATCCAGTCGTCATGACTCCACTCCGGAGGGATTCCCCGATCATTTCTTACAGTTTCTCATCAAGGGGGTGTCTCCTGTCCCCGGGACAAACACACTGCCTGAGGAAGGTTATGTGTATTTTTTTTGTCATTAACTTTTTTCGGACCACTTATTTATTTATTTTGGTGACGATCCGACCTCCATGCTGCTACTCTGGTTTAAACTGCATCCACCAAACAATATGATTTATCTCCACCTCCCCAAAATAACCAAAATCTGACACGGTGTGAGATGTCTTTTTTAGCTGTTCGGTCGTAATTTCCTGCGATCTTCTTCATGCAGTCAGTCAAAATGAATGAATGAATGGGCGTTTCTTTGACTATGTATAGGCAAATATGGGCGTTACGTGAAGCCTGCAAAAGCTGCGCCGCATTTCGAGTCGATTGTGATTTATAAAGGGAAACAGGCGTATGAAGTGCCGGTACGCACTTCCCTCGCCGGTACGCAATGTTTTGTGGATCGGAAAATGTCGGAACATTTCTGTACCTATTTTTTTGCTTTGTACTACGTAAGCAACCTTCTCACGTCAATCCTACGCAAGGCGTTATAAATGAGGCCCCAGGTGTCAGGTAACCAGTTTTGGGGGTGTTGGGGCTTGAACTCTTGACCCCGTCATGGCTACAGCTCCGGGCATGATGGAGACGTCAGTTGTTTTTGTTATAACTAACAGACTGACAAATGATAACAGATTCTTCTCTTGGTGTTAGCATAGCTTATTTCCATCCTCCCTTCAACTACCAGTACGTTTTAGATTACATTTTTAACCCCTTCACGGTTCAGCTCACAGTCACATTGCTGAGTTGATGCTCAGATCCTCGGGCAGGGCCTGGAAACTAACCAGGCTTTGTTCAGTGAAATCTGAGGCTGAGTTATCAGTAACATATTTTGAATGACTACTCAAAACCTATTGTTTGAAAATAGCTTCTTTATTTTATACCACTGCACTTGAGTAAATGTATTTGCAATCCTGTCTTTAAACGCATCACTGACACTCAGTGGTGTAAAGTAACTAAGTACATTTACTCTTAAGTATTGAGTATTTCAATTTGTTGCTACTTTGTACTTCTACTCCACTACAGTTCAGAGGTAAATGGTGTACTTTGACTCCACTACATGTATTTAATACCTTTAGTTACTTCACAGATGTGGATGAATGATGTGAAATATAATCAAGTGTTAAATCAGACTTTAGTTCCACCTGGAGTAAATCCACAAGCTACTCTGCAGTATACAAAGTCATTCAAACTAGCTGCACCTTTACCAGCTTTGAGCACACTTTAATGATCAATCATTATAAAACATATCATATATATTATTCTGAAATTGACCAATCTGCATTACAGGTCAACGTCGTGAGGAATGTTTAATTATAGTGGAGGAGAATCAGCAAAACATTTAAATTCTCAAGTAGAGTACTTGATTACATGTCACCACAGCACTGTGTATTTGCATCACTGCCACTCACCCAACACATCCAGGTCCACCTTGAAGTTGATGAAGTGTGTGTGGATGTTCCCCAGCACCTTCTCCGCCACCTGGTGTCCGTGCCGCAGAGCCCCGTCCACCAGGTAGGAGGAGGAGATGTATCCGGTCGCGTGCACCTTGGCCTCCACGGACCCGCTCTGGTAGAAGATGAAGTCCCACATGTAGTCATAGTTCCCTATGGCAGTGATGGTCCTGAACACCAGCGCGCTGTTCACCATGCCCCCGTAGCTGTGGTGGAAGAAGTCGGAGAAGTGCCTCCTCAGGGGCTGGCCCATGTTGTGCTCGAATATGCAGATAGAGTTCCTGAAGCGGACCGGTTTGGGGACATCAATGTAGCGGTATGTGTCCACGTAGCTCGCCTCGTAGGGACAATCCACCCCGCGGACCAGTTCGTGCGCAAAGCGGCCAATCCCGATGCTGGAGTCCAGAAACTTTGTCAGGATCATCCCGGGAGTGACCGACCCGTACACGGACATGGCCTCCTGCACGCTCAGCTCGTACACGATCCTCTCGTCGTTGAAGCGCACGTCGAACACCCTCATGCCCGTGAGCGCGCTGAGCCCGAAGGCGAAGCTCCAGTCCATGTACACGACGTGGTTGTTGCTGACACTGTAGCGCTTCCCCTCCGCGTTAAAGAGCTGCGGACCGACCTGCAGGGGCTTGTTCCTGGGTTTCAGAGAGCCATAATCAGGGGACTCCTTGTAGACGATCTTCTTTACGAGATCTTTATCGTATTTATCCTTCAGTGCGTCTATGGAGTCGAAATATTGTCCGTTATAGAGCAGCATCTCCACCTTCCACTCGGACGCGTTGACGCTCTGGTGGTCGACCAGCACCTCGAAGCCCACCGGGTGGATGTACATGCCGCTCATGTCCCTGAAGAAGGAGATCCAGGTCTTCCTGTCCCCGGTCCGGACTCCGCGGGGCATCTGCTCGAACGCGTTCAGCTGCTTGTCCGGACCCATATCGAAGCTCTCCTTCATGATCTTCCCCAGTTTAGTGAAGACGTCTCCCAAAAACTGGAAAAGCAGATTATATTCCCCGATGGTGACTGTGCGCGCACTGATGGGCAGATCCTTGTGGTACCTCTCCATGGTGACATCGTTGACGTATGTTGGGTTGGGAAGAGGGCCCACTACGTACTCCTTGATGTATCCTTTGGCACCGTAAAACACCACCACCGTGGCCTCTCTGGTCGGCTTGGCGCCATTCCGGTCCAAATACGCGAGCACGTCCGCTTTCTTTGGCACAGACAGATCTATTAGAAACAGGAAGTTATCCGACGGCTTGGAGATCTGGTTGGTGGATATTTCCAAGTTATTCTGCTTTAGCATGAACTGCTGGACCTGCAGGTACTCCTCCCGGGAGAGGTCCGCGAACACGGCGCTGCGCTCGTCGTGTTTGCGCCGCAGCGGGTGCACGCGCTGAGCGGAGCATTTGGGCGCCCTGCTGGAGTGGATGCCGATCAGGACGATGTTGAGGATGATGGAGGCAAGGACGAAGAGGATAAGCGTCCATTTCACTAAAGAGTTCATCCTCTTCTCTTCCATTAGGCACAGGGCTTGGAGAGAGGGAGGAGAGGAGTGAGCCCCGCAGGAGAGAGCGCGCAGAGGCTCCTGGAAGAGAGCCGCGCCCCTCAGATAATCTGTGTCTCACCCTCTCACCCCCCCTTTGCATGTATCACATAACCCCACGCGCCCTGCCTCCCTCTTTGAATAAACAGTTATGAAAGTATTTTCTTGCAGCTTCTGTTCATCCACACCGGACAACAGGAGTCTTTTACGCACACTGTGAAAACCTTATGTAAAACTGACCAGTGGAGCTATTCTGATCTTTTACTTAATTAAAAGTAGTGATACCCAGTGGTGGCAATAAGTACATTTACTTTATTACTGTAATTAAGTAAAATGTGGAGGTACTTGTACTTTACTTAAGTATTTCCATTTTAGTTAACTTAATACTTCTTCTCTATTACAAATTGGAATAAACGTTGTACGTCTCTACATTTATTTAACCAAATTAGTTATTAGTTATATTGCAGCTTCACATTTTTAATAAAAGTTATAAATCAATTTATAAATTATGATTTACTATTATGGATTAATACCCCTTAAAACATTTTTTTTAAAGTAATTAAAGTTCACTTTGATCACTACCTTTACCATCTGCAAAATAAAAACAATGATGTACATGTGTTACGTTCCACAATAGGGGTAAGAGGGAAGTAAACAACATGTAAAGAAAAACGGGAGAAAAAAAGAAAGAGGAAACTGATTTGCAAAATTAAAAGATATGGTTTAATGAATAAAAATGGTCAGTGTATGTTTTATGACATAATGACATTCTTGTACTCAGGAGGGGACATTGACAGAGGATTACTGGAAAAGTACACAGTAAATACTTCATAGTATATTTTATATTTTATTTTATTTCTATTCTTGTATATTTTGTAGTTTTGTTTTATTGTAAAATGCCTTTTATGCTGCTGTAACAAAAACAATTTCCCAATTTGGGATCAATAAAGTATGATCTATCTATCTATCTATCTAGTACTCGTGGGGGTATAGTTTCAGTAGTACTGAGTCCAACAGGATCAATCTCACGAATAACTAATGGAAATAAAAAATAATTCCCTCATCAAATTTAGCAGAAGTGGCTTGATTTTGTTCTCAGCAGTACCATCGTACAGGGCAAATGAAAAGTGTAACCGGGGTGAAAAGGGTGTTACCTTTACTTAATTATGAATGTTGTTACATCAAGGCCGAAAATTAGGATGAGCGCAAAAAGTCAAAAAGGTTTTTTTCCCTCCCGGAGCTACCAGCGCAGCCCCCCCCCCCAGAACTTGTTTAATTTGTTATCACAATTACTAATGTCATGTTTTTTTTTATTCTTGAAGAGAATGTCTTTTTTTCTGGCATTCTTCCAGGATTAACAAAAATAAGAATAACATTGAGAAAAATCGTTGAAGTAAATGGCTGTTGTTAAACGCTTCCCACATTTACTTCAATCGTACAGTAGAAAAGATAAAAGTATCCCAGCAATACACAATAGAATATATAAAGAATAAATGAAAAATCTCTTCAAAAGACCACTACAAAAACTGAAACTTATTGACATGGGTAATATACATCAAAAAGGCTTCAAATGTATTCAGTATTGTATGAACATGTTTTAATTGGGGTGTGGACGTCACATCCTGTAGGGGGGTCCGGGGGTATGCCCCCCCGGGAAGAAATGTTTGAAAATGTAAAGTAAAATGTTTCAATCTGGTGCAAATGAAAAGTGTAACCGGGGTGAAAAGGGTGTTACATTTACTTAATTATGAATGTTGTTACATCAAGGCTGAAAATTAGGATGAGCGCAAACAGTCAAAAAGGTTTTTTCCCCCCCCAGATCTGGCGCCCTAGGCGACCGCCTATGCCAAAAACCGGCCCTGTACACCATGCTAAATGTATGTCTGCATAAAGCTGAGTTATGATCAGTCATAATAACACAGAATTTGGTGATGATTAAATAGTTTACAGTGAGATTTACTCCCATACTTTTGGCCATACTCACGCAGCCCTACAAATGAATTGAGATTTCCACACAAATGTTCTTTTGCAAGTGTGCAGAGCAGTGTTGATTTAAAAAAGCAATTTGAAGGTTGGATATTTGTAAACCTTTTTTTGTGTATATATATATATATATATTTAAGATGTAAATTAATTCCAGTTTATTTGTAGTACTTTCTATTTTTATTGTGACATTTGGTGGCATCAATGTGTGCATTTGATACAGATAATGGAGCAATTGCTTTAGGGCCACAGTGTAGGCCTATATCCCTGAAGGTCAAATAATGAGATCCTTGACCTCCGCCCCCCTCTCGCACCTCCATACAGAGCCCCCCCACATATCAAATCCCAACTTAACCCCTGGTCATATGACTGTATTTTAAAACACAGTGTATTTAAGCTCTTAGAGAAACTATTTGGGCTGGGTGGCGCTCTATAGCTTAGGGCCAATAGGTTCAAGGTTCAAGGTTCTTTATTGTCAATCTGACATAGCTACAGAGTAATTATGTAGTTGAAAATCTTATGTCACAGGCTTCTCCAACAATGCAACATAATAACATAATAACAATAAGAGCAAGAGCAATACAAAAAGAAAAATAGTTATAAAATAAAGTGATGATGTGGAATAGTGCAGTACAAGTCTATATACAAGTTATTGGAATGATATATATATATATATATTAGGTGTTAGATACATAATACTGAGTAGCAGATGAATGTTTTTAAGTTGTTTCAACAGTTCAATTTTTTAACAGTCTCACTGCCCGCGGGAAGAAACTGTCTCCAAATCTTCTTGTCCTTGCCAGGATGCTGCGGTAACGTCTGCCAGACGGCAACAGAAAGAACAGTTTGTGGCTGGGGTGACGGGGGTCTTTGATAATCCGTAGTGATTTCTTCCTGAGCCGCTGGGAGTAAAGGTCCTCCATGGATGGCAGCTCCGTCCTGGTGATGTGCTGTGCAGTTTTCACCACCCTCTGTAAAGCCTTACGATCGAGGTCGGTGCAGCAGCCGTACCAGGCCGTCATGCTGCCAGTCAGGATACTCTCTATCGTGCACCTGTAGAAGTTGCAGAGTATCCTGGAATCCATTTTGAACCTCCTCAACCTGCGGAGGAAGAAGAGCCGCTGTCGAGCTTTCTTGGTGATGGTGGTGGTGTGAAGAGACCATGTCAGGTCCTCAGTGATGTGGACCCCAAGGAACCTGAAGCTGCTGATTCTCTCCACCGTAGTCCCATTGATGGCGATGGGGGCGTGTCCCTCTCCCTGCTGCTTCCTGTAATCCACAATCAGCTCCTTTGTTTTGCTGATGTTGAGATGGAGGTTGTTATCCTGGCACCAAGATGTCAGGTTTTCGACCTCCTCTCTGTACGCCGTCTCGTCATCGTCGGTGATCTGGCCGATGACGGTCGTGTCATCAGCAAACTTCACGATGGTGTTGGAGCTGTGTGTGGCCACGCAGTCGTGGATGAACAGGGAGTAGAGGAGAGGGCTGAGCACGCAGCCTTGAGGGGCACCGGTGTTTAGAATCAGGGTGGAGGATGTGATGTTTCCCACCCGCACTGCCTGGGGTCTGCCCGTCAGGAAGTTCAGGATCCAGTCACAGAGGGCGCTGTTGAGCCCGAGGTCTCTGAGCTTGATGGCCAGCTTGGAGGGCACAATGGTATTGAATGCTGAACTGTAGTCAATGAACAGCATTCTCACATATGTGTTCCTGTTCTTCGGGTCCAGGTGTGAGAGGGCAGTGTGGAGGGTGAGGGCTATGGCGTCGTCTGTGGACCTGTTTGCTCTGTAGGCAAACTGCAGGGGGTCCAGAGATTCAGGGAGGGAGGAGGTGATGAATGATTTGACTAACCGCTCAAAGCACTTCATTATGATGGAGGTGAGTGCTACTGGGCGGTAGTCGTTGGGGCAGGTGATTATTGTCTTTTTCGGGACAGGAACGATAGTGGAATGTTTGAAGCATGTGGGGACTACAGACTGCAACAGGGACCTGTTGAAGATGTCTGTGAACACCTCTGCCAGCTGAACTGCACACACCCTGAGAACACGGCCAGGGATGCCATCAGGTCCAGGAGCCTTGTGTGGGTTAACCCTTTTAAAGGATTTACACACATCTGCCCTATTTAAAACAAAAGGGCAGGGTAGCTCCTGGTCCCTCTGTACCTCCACAGCCCGGCTGCTCTCAAAGCGTGCAAAAAAACTGTTCAGCTCATCTGGGAGAGATGCGCACGCAGACACTCCCGCAGCACCCCCCGCTGCTCCTTTGTAGTCGGTCATTGTCCTTAGTCCCGCCCACATATTCCTGGTGTTACAGCCTTTGAAGTCAGATTCCACCTTCTCTTTGTACTGTCTCTTTGCATTTTTAATTGCTCTCCGGAGATCATACCTAGATTTCCTGTACTCCTCCAAATCTCCAGCTCTGTGCGCGATAGTGCGCACTTTCAGCTTGCTGCACACATCGCAGTTTATCCAGGGCTTTTGATTTGGGAATGTCCGTACAGAAACCTTCGGTACCACGTCATCGATGCATTTCCCAATGTAGCAGATGACAGTGTCCGTGTGTGTGTTGATGTTATTGTCCTCAAACACACTCCAATCCGTAGATGCAAAGCAATCCTGCAGTGCTGCATCTGACTCCTCGCTCCATCGCTGTACTGTTCTTGTTACCGGTCTGTCCCTTTTAAGTTTCTGCTTGTAAGCAGGCAGCAGCAGCAGTGAGATATGGTCTGATTTGCCGAAGGGAGGGCGAGGGAGAGCCTTATATCCATTTCGGAAAGGGGAATAAACATGGTCCAGTATGTTTCCCCCGCGCGTCAGGCCGCTGATGTGTTGGTAATATTTTGGCAAAACCTTCTTCATGTTGGCGGTGTTGAAATCTCCGGCCACAACGAACGCCGCATCTGGCCGTGAAGTCTCGGTTTTATCAATAATGCCAAACAGCTGATCGAGTGCCGTGTTGTTGTCGGCGAGCGACTGCCGGCGGATATACACTGCTGTTATCACAACAGATGTGAATTCCCTCGGCAGATGAAAGGCCCGGCATGTGATCATGAGGTGCTCTAGATGAACAGTCCGAAGAAATAA